CAGGGCTTGGGTGAGGGGGGTTGCAAAGCCCTACTGACTCCTCGACGCCGTAAAAATGTTGCTAACAGCGTTGTTTCTGTCAGATTTCCCCTTCTCGTGTTGTTTTTCTTTCTCTCTCTCTCTCGCTTTCCCTGTCTCTCTCGCTCTCTCCCGCCCCGATGCAGGTATATAATTATAGCGTGGTTTTCATCGGCACGCCAGAGCGTGTGTTTTGATAACGGGCCTGGCCCGGCCGGGCTCGGCCTGGCGACTTCAAAGGATACTACACTGCGTATTCAATTACAAGGGTTGAGCTCCGGCAGGCTGCAGAGTCGCCTCGTCTCTCTGTCTCTGTCGCACTCACGGTGCGTGCCGCCGGGGTGCGAGAGAGAGGGAGCGACGCCTCGCTCGCCGGCCAGCAGGATGGAAAGGATTGAGGGGGAGCACCTGGAGTGGAGCTCAGGCGGGGCTGTCCGCGCGCACCGGAGGGACTGCGCGTCGCTCTGTCTCCCTCGCACCCATGGGGCGTCCCGTGCGGGTGCGAGGGAGACAGAGCGACACACTGTGCGAAACCACCCTGCTGACTCGGGGTGACTGGCAAGCGGCACCGGCCTGGGCGGTTGTAGAGATCCAGCAGTGACCCATTCCGAACAATACTCCGTTGCTGTCTCTCTCGCACCCCGACGGTTCACCCAGCGAGTGCGAGAGAGACAGCACGACATTGCCGAGCCTATCGGCGGCTGATCGGGCCACCCAGGACCTGCCAAGGACTTCGGCCCCGCTCGCTCCGGCACTGCTTTCCGCATTCGCTCGCAATCGTTATTTCTCTCATATTTATGTAACGAATATACCAAAAGTTTGCCCGCTTCCTTATGGCCCTCTGCGCGGCGCAGTGCCGCACCAGTGCCGCGGTAGTTACGATTATCGCTATTCGGGAAAAGCAAAGCGCGCGGCTGCCATTCAAATCCACATGTCCTTGTTGTTGTTACTGTTGTTGTTGCTCTAGTTTTTCGTTTCGGCGCGAAAAACAACAACAACAAAAACAACAACAGAAAACACGCCGGGTCGCGTCACCGTTCCCAACGGAAGGACTACTGCGGACTGAGCTATATTCGTTTTCTTCTCTCTCACACTCACGGGGCGTCCCGTAAGGGTGCGAGAGAGACGGAGCGACGACTCTGAGTGCTGTCTAGGTGCGACACTCGGCGTAACGCGACGACGGCCATGTGCCCCCCGCCTTTGGCTGTGCCTTTGGCTCGCCCTGACTTGCCGCGCTGCTGCCAAACTAGCGACGCAAATATTTGACGAAAGGAAAAGGAGCAAGACAAACAGACGGACAAATTAAGGAGGGCCGTTCCTAACGAAGCAGCGTGCGACATCGCTTAGCGACGGCTCTGTGTGTATGTGCGCGCGTGCGTGTGTGTGTGGGGGGGGGGGGGGGGGGCTGTCGTGATATGGTCCGACACGGGACACACGAGCGCGATGGGATTTTGTACGGTCACGTTCGGTCGCGGTGAATGTGCGGCTAGGAGGCGAAAAGAGAGTGGGAGGGAGAGACAGGGAAGGGGGAGGGGCTTCTGGAGATCTTCGCGGAAGAAGTTGTGAAAGTCCAATGTCGTTAGGCAGCCCGCATTTCATTATGACCTGCCATTATGAAGGGAGCTGCTGGAGGGAGAGAGAGAGAGCGAAGGGGGAGAAAGCTCAGGAAGAGATAGAGAAAGTGAGAGAGAGAGAGCTGGAGGCTCCAGAGTCTGCCTCTGGAGGAAGATATATGGCGTCAAAAGTTAGAAGTGGACCAAGTGGTCCGCAGGCCTCGGCCTCGCCGCCGCCCGAGTCGGGAGCTGCGAGTTTGCCTTCAGCTGCCTACCTTGGAGGGAATGGGGTGGAATGGAACCGAATGGAACCGAATGGAACGCACGGTCGGCCAGGATTCACAATTAGCGATGCCTTCCGCTTTGCTCCCTCTCTCTCTCTCTCTCTCTCTCCTCTCTCTCTCTCTCTCTCCTCTCTCTCTCTCTCTCTCTCTTACAGCAAAAACAAAAAATTGCCGAGCCTGTGTACTTTATTCCCCTCCCTCCGCCACCCTGGCTCCTCCAGCTGGGAGTGACGTGGTCCTTGTCACCGGTAATCAGTATCAAACGCATCGACCGACCCCCTGGTCTGCTTGAGTGCGAGAGAGAGAGAGAGAGAGAGAGAGAGAGAGAGAGAGAGAGGGGGGGGGGAGGGAGAGAGAACCTTACAAACCATATCAGGACTTACAAAGCAGAGCAGTTTGTCATAACAATAAGTATGTTGAGCATACATGAGCTTACAAAAAAAATGCTTCGTAATTTGCGATCTATTTCTTTGCATAACAAAGTAAATCAGATTGTACGTAGGTATGCTATGCTCAAAATACTTCGCAAGGTTTTAAGGGTGTTGGGGTGTGCCTGGACTGCTCTTCTTCTAGCCGAAATCAACAACACATTGTGTTGTACGTACATTTATGATGGGCACCGAAACTTTGAGAGCTACGCGGCGAGAAACCGTCGCTCGTTCCGTTCCTTGTACTTGTTGCTGTCCATTGCCACCCCGTTGGACATCCCCTCCCCCGGCCAGGCCTCGCCGGTCAGATAGCGCCCCTGCCCCGCTTGACCGCACCCCAATCCAGCCGTCATGAAAACACACAACACAGCTCCAAACAAACAGAAAACCAAGTCGCAAATGAATGTGCCGCAGAAAAAAAGAGAAAGAGGGGGCAGTTGGCGGTTTGTTGGGAATCTGCGGCCGCGCGCGAAGCGCTTCCGGAATGCCAATGGCCAGTCCAAAAATGGGGCGTTGTTGTTGTCCCGCCGCAGTCCGTTTTCTTCTCGATTCGGAGAGCCGTTTTCGTCGCTCTGTCTCTCTCACACCTATACGGACCGCCGCACGAGTGCGAGAGAGACAGAGCGACGGCGCTGCGCGCCGCGGCGCTAAATCTTCATTGCCAACAAACAAATGACTTTGGCGGGATAAACTTGCCCCGACTCACGTAGTAGTGGCGCCGCCACCGTTGCGGCGCGCGGCGCGGCAACAACTACTCGAGTCAGCCGTGAGAACGAGTGCGGCCGGGATATAAATCGCAATTCCAACTTTGCCGGGAAAAACTTCTCGCTCGCGCGCCAATTAGCGCGGTGTTGCTTGATTGTGATTGGTTGCAGCCCGATTGTGCAGCCCGATTGCGCAGCTCGATTGCGATCGCGGCGCGCCCTGGCGGCGGCCAACACAATCCAACACGGGGTTCGATCCTTCCCCCTTATCGTGGACGCCATGCAAGGCGGGAGAAGTTTGACACCGCCTCGAGGAAGCGAGCGGGAAAAAAAAAGTGGTGAGCCGTGGAGGTTCGAACCCGCGACCTCCGGCGCTGGGGGCGAGCATGGTAACCATGGGTCCGCGAGCTGCTGGTCAGTCCTTTAGCGGTGTCTTGCCCTGCTGGCGAAGGACGGATTGAAAAGAGGGCAGCAGGCATTTTTTTCCGTCTTTGGCCGCCTGAGAGGCGGGCAAAAGCCTATGCAAGTAGGGAAAAATTGCAACTTTGCCCTTGCAAAAGTGGACAAAAAGTACAACTTTGCCCCTGCAAGAGGTCAAAAAGTGCTTGTTCTCTCTCTCATGCCGGATCCGCCCCCACTGCAAAGTGACCTCGTTGCACCGCCATCCCGCTAATTGCAAAACTTGGCGGTGGAGAGAAAAGTAACAGAGCGGCGCGCCGCCCCGAAGGACTCGAAGGGCAGCTCATCCCCGGCAGGTCGATGTTTTCGGATTAGTGGCGGGTAAACGGTGACCGGTCGATGTCGTCCGCGAGCAACAGCGGCCTGGCCGACCTGGTGGGGCCTGGCGGGGCCTGGCGGGGCCTGGCGGGGTTCTGGCCGACGGGGCGACGTGCGTGTCGGGAATTGGCCCGTGTGTGCGTGACGCGGATCACTTTTACCCGACGGAGGAAAAACCGACACGCCCTTGTTGCTGTGTTGTTGTTGTTGACTTGAACGGTGCGGGCACCTCATCTTCCACCTCAATTTCCTTCTCTCTCTCCTTTTTTCGCCCCGCGCTGCCACGCCGCCTTCCCGATACATGTTATGACCCGCGAAGGACCTCCGACGGACGGGGCAAAGGTGTAGCGGTGAATTTTTCATGACGAAACGAGCCATTTACGAAGTTAAAACCCCGCCTAGGCCCGCTTGAGCCGCGAGGCGCGCGAGGCCGTCTCCATACCTTGCCGTGGCGCGGCATCTTTTATTCAGGGCACACAGCTGCCCCGGCCGGCCGGGTCATGCACATCCATTTTCATGGAATGGCATCAAACTGGCATCACGATCGGAACGCCATCCTGACTTGTTGAGGCGTCGCGCCGCTAATGCGGTAGCGAGCGCGGCAAAAATAGCCGCGCCGCGGTGGGGATTCGAACCCGGGTCGGGCCGATGATGGCTGTGATGAGGCCCGGAACTTCAATAAGTGGAATATTACAGGCTGCGTCGCTCCGCGGCAATCAGGGCTCGCGATTTGGAGTCGATGCCGCGCTAACCATCGGCTAGCCTTCCTGAATTAGTGAACGCCGCCGGCGGACCCTCCCCGTCGGCCTCGGCCGCCGCGACCCGCCGCGCCGCGCCACGCCCGTTTCAATATTTGGCGCGGTACTACCGGCAGTGCGTTGACCCGTGCTTCTTGTTGTTCTGCGCGAGGCTACGCGAGGCGAGGCCGGATTCCGCAGCCGGCAGGTGGTCTGGTCTGCCGGTCGGCCGGGAGGGAAGCGCTCCGTACTCCGCGAGCCGCTCTGCGGCCCGGCGGCCCAGCGGGGGAAATGCATTTTTGATAGAGCTCGCGGCGGTGCCGAGGACGCCCCACCCCCCTTCCCCCTCTTTCTCACTCTTTCCCTCTTTCTCTCTCTTCACGCCTCCGCGCGCCCACCTGTCGGGCACGGGGGCTGCGCGCGCAAGGCCTCGGCCGGTTCCACCGGGGGTTTCGCCGACACAGTGTCACTGACGCCCTTCCTTGCTTGTGTGTTGCAGGCTACGAGCTGACAGCGCTACCCTTCACGGCCTACCTCGGCCACCACCCCACGCTGCCGCCGCTGTCCCCGGGCTCGCCCGCGCCCACCTATGCCACCCTGCAGCCGCCTTCGCCGTCCTCGTCCACGCCGAGGCGGTGCTTCACCAGCACGGGCGCGCAGCTCTCGCTGCCGCCCAAGAAGAAGGACATCTACCGGCCGTACTCGCTGGAGCCGTCGCCGGGGTCCTCGCCGCAGCCGCTCGACGTCCGGGAGGAGGACGACGGCCCCCGGCCGCCCTCGCCGCGGCACCAGTACGTCGAGGTGACGCGGCCAGAGCCCCAGCGGGCGCGCCCCATCACGCTCAGCATCACGCCAGGCACGCCCGTGCGGCCCATCCCGCTCGACCCCATGAGCTACCAGACGCTGGACACGCGGCCGCCGCCACTCAGCCTGAGCACGGCGGCGCCGGACGACCTGACCGCCGCCCACGCCATCCTGGACCTGAGCTCGTCCACCCTGCCGTACCCGCCGGCGCGACCCGCCAGCCCCATGCACCACCAGGGGCTGCACCTCCACCACCACCAGGAGGAGGCCGAGCAGCCGCACCCCCTGCAGCACGAACAGGAGAAGCCGGGCACCAAGGGCGGCAAGACCGTCTCCTACACGTACGAGGCCTTCTTCGTGAGCGACGGCCGCTCCAAGCGGAAGTCCTCGTCGTCCGAGGACGAGTGCTCCAACAACACGGACAAGAAGGGGCGCTACGTGTGCGGCGAGTGCGGCAAGCGGTACGCCACGTCCTCCAACCTGTCGCGGCACAAGCAGACGCACCGCAGCCTGGACTCGGGCTCGGCGCGCCAGTGCAACGTGTGCGGCAAGGCGTACGTCAGCATGCCCGCGCTGGCCATGCACGTGCTCACGCACCAGCTGACGCACGCGTGCGGCGTGTGCGGCAAGCTCTTCTCGCGGCCCTGGCTGCTGCAGGGCCACCTGCGCTCGCACACGGGCGAGAAACCGTACGGCTGCGCGCACTGCGGCAAGGCCTTCGCCGACCGCTCCAACCTGCGCGCCCACATGCAGACCCACTCGCAGGACAAGTCCTACTCCTGCCACCGCTGCCACAAGAGCTTCGCGCTCAAGAGCTACCTCAACAAGCACCTCGAGTCGTCGTGCGTCCGCGACGGCGCCAGCTCGTCCGAGGAGTCCTCCATGACGGGCTCGGTGGAGGAGAGCAACAGCTCGGCCTTCGCTGCCCCCAGCATGGTGGGCATGCCGTTCGCAGCGGCCTGCTCCGCCTGAACCACTGTACCGACTCAGCACAACTTGCCAAAGAAAGATATTTTGTAACTGGCTGAGTGAAATTACGCGATGCTCGCTCCGTCCCACTCTCTCTCTCTTTCTCAGAGCGTGGCCGGGCTTTCTTCATTCTCCTATATTGTGGCCCGGTCATTATTTTTTACAAATTTTATATACGTCTTTTCGCGGACAGAAGACAGCAAAGCCGGGTCCATGATTTGATGTTGTTGTCGAGCGAATGTGTGCATTTTATGGACTATAGCTTGACCGGTGATGCAGTGGTTTGTTTACCATGGTTTTGGAAGTTATTTGCTGAATTGATGTTTGACATTTTATTAGACTTGAGAGAAGCTAAATGGGATGCACGCTTTGACAAACCGTCTGCAAGGTTTGGTTAGAGATTTGTACAGGTTATTTATTTAGTCAAGTTTATAAAATCGTTTGTTTTTTATTGCGACTGGACGTTTATTTAAAGAAAAACTGAAAAGTTTTTAAGGTAAGTAACACCGACCAGTAGTCGGCTAGTCTTAATTCTTAGACAGTTTTAGTGAGAAGTAACACTTTGCTAGTCAGCGTGCATAGTCCTAGTCACTCACTAGTCGGGACCGAAAAGCATTTGGTTAGCATTGGCTACCAATGTCTTCACTTTTACCACGTAGTAAATTATTACTTACACAGCTCAGGTCCTACCGCGATGTAACATTCTGGGTGGGGTTATATTTAAAAATATACATGTTTGAAGTATAATATTATTTACACGGAATATTATAAGATTGATATGCTACGCATATAGCTCACGTAACTCCATGCAAGGTATGTTTACCGGCTTTCCTTACATTTTAGGGTTGGCTTCGAGAAAATTGCCAACACAGGCAGTGGTCTTTTGTTAGGTGATAACATTAGTGATAGACCAAAAGACTTAATAAGTTAAACATTTTTTCTTTTGTTTAAAGTTATTGATCTCCGTAACTTCAAAAACATTCCAAAATTTAGAGTGAACCGCTGCCTTTTATATTTTAAGTGTGTCGTACTGTTGAGGCTGTAATTGTATATATGTGTAATACCAAAAAATGCATTATTATTGTATAGGAATTAATTGAAGTTTATTTTATACCTATGAGTATGAAGCGTGCTGTGACATGTGTATTAGTGTATATAGGTGCTTTATGGCCATTTATAAAGGAAACAATTAGTCGTAATTTAAGTAGACTAGTCAAAGCCTAGGGAACTGGTGCAATATTGCCTTAAAATATAACATACGTTTATAAGAGAGTCGTAAATGAGAGTTTTGAGAAAATGGCTGAATGCAAGTTTGATTGTGTGCTGTGTGAATGTTATGCATACCAAGAACTAAATTATAACTTAACATTTTCATTTGTGTTTTTCTTGAGTTAACTATTCTTTTCACCCATGCCAGTTCTGAATAACTGGGAAAACAAACACTGATATTTGCTCAGCTATCGCCTTTTCTATCTCTCGGAAACGTTTGATAAATATTCACATGAAGTTATTTATGACTAACTTGTATATTGAAACCAAAGAAATATTTCGAAATTACCCTATCTATTGGTGAAGGGAACAAAATTCTCCCATAATTAAATGCATGCAATTGACATCGAACTATCATATTACGTCCTAGCTTGCTCAGCAACATGAACAACTCTAGTCCAACCGCTGTCTCTTTTAATCAGAACTTCAACGCCAACACAACATTTATCTCGTAGTTGGCCCTCCCTTCTTCTATTCCTGTCTTTCTCTACGGCTATCCCCTCTACTTCTTTCTCTTACTGAACGGGGTTTCTCTCTCCCGTCTGGTTATCCCTTTCTCTCGCCTTCTTCGCAGGGATGCAGCTGCGAGTGCCACGAGCTTGCATCGTGTGCGGAGAGATCCTACTCTTCCTCTTTGCTTAACTTTGCACTGGACTTTTCCCCAGTTGCTCGTTCTTTCTATGGCGCTCAACGCTCTTTCTAATCTATAATATCTGTTTTCTTTGAGTTTTCTATTCGTTATTGTTTTCTTCCTTGACTCTTTCTTTCGAGGCTCTTGTACTTTCTTCATTCACGATTCTTGAGTCTCAAACATCTCGTATTTTCAATTCTATCGCTTCACTTTCTTCTTGGGAAGGACAATTATGGGTTGCAGCTGGTTGAAAAGTCTTAAGTCAACAGAACGCGTTTCTATGTGAATTGCATGGTCGTAATAATGGGAGGTGTAAGTCTATTCATATTGTTTCCCCTTTAATCGGAACTAGCTGTGGTAAGTCCCAGCGAGTGTATAATCTAGTCATGATATTACTCTATCCAGCGGCAAAGTGCTTACATAGATAAATATTTATTCGTAGTTGTATATTTGATATTATTGTGAAGTTGCTTGAATGAGTGCGTGCATGTGTTTCCTGGTCAATTTCGAGTCATTTTATGTGTTATCTAGTCAATTCTAAGTGAAAAATTGGGATCTTTCAAACCAAAAGAAAACTGTTATGCAGTTTCTTTTGTTTGAACTGTGTCAGTACAATAATTGTTAAACAATGTTCATTGGTTGGCCCTGTTATGTTATGGTAGCGTTAGCTTTATTTTATTGTTATTTTGTTCATAAAATTGAGAAACGACCTTTCTTTGTGACCACCATTCTGTTTGGATTGTTGAGAGATGTTTAATTTTGAGAGAATGAAATGTTAAATTTGATAGCAATCAGAATTCGTTTGTATGTAAAACGGGTCTTGTTGCATAACATTTTTGTCACATTTTGTGAGTTATTTTTTCAGAATTTTTTCTGGCTTCTCGGGTCGGTCACTTGAATGTACGGGGCTAATCTCATTGTGCCGAAGAAAAAAGTTAAATCATTAAGTCGTTTTCATGTTCATTTGAATCAAAAGCTTATGTAAATGCTGATTTGGGTTGTTGTTGGAAGTTTTGCACTATGAAATCATTTTTTAATCAGACTGAGAGCTGAAAATGTACCATCTGCTCTGGCTGTTGAATTATGAGTCAATTAATTTACACGTTCAATTACGCATGTACAACATTGCGAGCGTCTTAACGCAAGCTACTGTTGGCATGGTCTCTGCTACAAAAATGTCAATTCATGTCTTGTTTGTACATAGAAAAAAGTGTAAGTAAACATAAATATGTTGTAACATCAAAAAGATAGTGTGAAAAGGTTTCGGTGTATAAAAACGTTACACAGCTGTGTTTGCAAGCAATAAATTAGAGCAATAACACTGTTTATTTCAGCAATAATAATCTGTTTAATATTATTTGTTGAGCAATAATTACAGGAGATCTGGTCGTTCCATCTTCGTACTCCAGTGCTCCGACCGCACGAAATGCCGGGTATTCGAAAGCAATAAATTCGTAGTAATACGGGCTACTGTACAGAGCATAATACTCTTCAGTGCCCAATACTTGTAGCAATACTACTTGTAGTAATAATTCTAGTTCATATTTACAAAATCGTGTAAGTTTTACAAAAAAAAAGAGACAAATTGCAAAAATGAAAAAAATAAAAACTGATGAGTGAGGAATACATCAAATGGGAGAATGGACGTGTACCTTTGAAACTATGCACTTTATTCGAACGTATTGGAGCTGCAGAATTATTCCTTGGAGGAGTGTGGCAAAGATTGACTGAAAATGACATTACTTCTTAGCTATTACGTAACTGATATTGAACATATAATTATGTGATTGTCAGTTTGTATGTCCTGTCATTCAAAATAATTATGTACATCAGTTTTTCGTGTTTCTTTTAACATACCACTCAGATACTACAATGCACGAAATGACTTGAGCGTCACTTAAGTTTCATTCTCAAAAACTTGGTTCAAAACATGTGAACAAACCGATGCTTCGTCTTGTGATGTAACATTTCCTTACAATGGTCGGCAAATTTCGGCTTGGCCTGGTCATGGTCGCTTTTTTAGTCTTGTGTATCTTGCATCGCTCTTCAATACTTCAAACATTGTCAGACACCAAAGTTAGGAATCTTTTGTTGCGTTTTGCTAGTGTGTGCTACCAAAAAAGGTATATTAGAATAATTGAAAGCCATTTGTAAAGCTGATGTTTCAGAGTTTAGGTCCCTAGTGGAGCAAAATAGAGTTTTGGTAGTTGGCACCAACCTTGATTGGTGATTTGCTGTCGTGACAATGTCCTGAAGGCAACACAATGCAATTATTCAATTATGCTGCCAGCACAATTTGTGCTTATAACGTGCTTAGAGCAATGCCGTTTGAAAGCATTGATGCCATACTGAACCAAAGGCATTAATATATTATATAGGAAATAACGTTTTTAACGCAATATGTATATATCATGACTAATTGATTTCAATTCGATAAGTGAGTGTAAATCTTGTCATATAGCATTATCTTATTTGTCTGGTGCATAACAGTGCCAGAATAGCAAATTAAACATAAACAAATTAGCAACTTTTCCTCTTACTAGTGTTTTGTTCATAGAGCATTTCTCACATTTCATTACTTTTCCTGTATTCCGGTTTCTATGTTTGCTGAGGACTGATGCCATTCTTTGTCTGTCAACTGTATTGTATATTTTGTGACTGATATACGAGTTTTCGAACAGTTTTATTTATTTAATAAATGAATATGATTCATACCCAACTGAAATGACTCGTTTTATTAACCTGAAATGTAAAGCATTGAGCGAAGTGTCACCAAAAGTGAGAGAATAAATAATTAATTAACTAGAAACTTCAAATTTCTTATTTTCTACAACCAATTGAGCTCTTCTGCTGTCGAGCTGCACACTTACACCGATTTCTAGCAAAGTAACGGCCTCTTTTTACCTGACACAAAATTCACTTTAGCTTTGTATAAAAATATGGTGGCCGGAGAGGCCTTTCTTCCACACGGCGAAGGCACTGATTACGACTTTAGATAGCAAATGACTGATGGAGATGGGGGTCATTTGTCGCGCCGGCAGAACAGTGGCAAGTGTTCACGCTAACGCGTTGCCCTCCCAGGGCGCACACCGCAAACATGATTGCACCTTGGCCGTCCCGGACGGACAGCCAAATCACAGCAACAACGCCAAGCTGCGAGCGTTTCCAACAAAAACAGAGGCATGAATAAAAACAACAACTTCATGCGTATGCCGACTATTTGACGTCCAAACTGACAAGCGCCGCTAATACAGCGTGAGTGTTTGGGCAGAGCCAGGCAGAGCGACAGCCTGTGAGGGAGAGAGTGAGAGAGGATGAGGGGAGAAACGGACTATATTGAAGTTCCCGACACGTGCTGCCGTTCGACAGACAAGCCGTGACGTCTGAACGGACGAATGAAATCACAAACCGGAGGCATAAGAAAAAAATAAAGACGAGGAAAAAACTGAATGGGACATGCCATCGTTGAATTATTGGATTGTCCCTCACTGAGTCCGTGGCAACGTGCGGTGGACAGCAGCCTGGATAAAACAGAATGGTGGCTAGATAGATGGATAGACCATCCCCCCCCCACGGGGCACATGATAGGAGCCGACAAGTGAGCACGGGAAATAGAATTAGGTGGGCGAAGTTTGAGGCAAGTGCCATGGCCGGAAAGGAGGAAAGGGAAGACTAATATAGCAAACGGACAGCACACGGCTTCCAGTAAACGCCTTGTCCAGTGGTTCGGAAGGCCGTCGAGTATGACAAAAATGCAGCCCCTGCTGACCAGGGTGGGGTGGGCGGAAAAAAAGCAGCCCTCTCCGCAGTTAATCATTCAATCGGGCGAATGGGGCCTGGCGGCCTGGTGGTCCCGAGGGGACTTGTGATGCGACCAACTTTTTGTTTCTGCCATCGCCAGGCCTGTCTCCGTTCCTCCGCCACACCAATATGAAGGTTTTGTCGTCGCGGGGAAATATATGGCGCCGAGTTCCGTCTTGTTTTTCGAGGTCAATCAGATAAATCGGGACCGCCGGGGACTAAGTCGGGTGATCAACTTTTTACTCGAATCGTCCCTGTCGTGTGCGTTTTTTTTTCAGTCCGCGAGCTTTGCATATTATTTCGTCTTGTCTCTCTTTTCTTTCTTGGACGCGTTTGGAAATTGGGTGTGCCAGGCAGAAGAAAGCCTCCTGTTGCTGCGAGACCGAAAAAACGAGACTCGCGGTGTAAATGTTTGATGGCTTCCGTGCGGGGATGGCCACCCTAGGCTGCCGTAGGCGGCCACTGCGTGCGCCCAGCACCTCAATATTGCAGCCGGCAACAAATTGTCGGGCAGGGCGTCACGGGCACGACCGGCCACCGCCGCTAGTTGGTGAATCCGAAAGTGATGGGAAGTGATCCGATCGTCGCCCACACCACGTGGCAAGCAGACGACGGTCGCGTCGGCGTACGTTGGTGTCGCAAGAAAGGCCCTGACGTCGGACCGCTGGCCAAAGTCAAACACCACACGAACACTGAAGAAACTGCAAACACGTTGTGACATCTTATTTTCAAAAACGGATAAAACCAAAGGGTTCTTGTTCCATGGATAAAACCACCTGCTTGATTTGAGAACTTCATAACAGAAGAACCATCCCGATTCAAGGATGTCCATCTGCAGAGTCTTCTGGGCACCCGATGGTTCCGCCAAGGTAGGTAACCCCTATGAAACGCCGCAACTCCCTAGACGAAAATCAAAGCTGTCCTCCAAGAGACCCGTCATTGCGTTGTTTGTTGTTCTTTTTGCGTACTACTCTACGCGGACCACTCACGCCCACGTGATGCCCTTCCCTCGCGGAAGTCGTTCTTGATTCAGCGCAGCTATTAATTCCAAGTTAGCGCCGCGTTTTTCGCGTGTTGCGCCACGGTTGTGGCACGTTGTGGCACGGTTGTGGCACGGTGCGCGTCTCGCGGCCGATTTGTCACGCCTAATGTTTGGTTGCCACTCGGCAGGCCGCGCGCGCTTTCCGAAAGGCAATTCATTCCTGCTTTGGCGAGCATTCTGCCGGCACAGCAGACTGACTCCGAGAGTCACTTTCGTCCCTCTGTCTTTCTTGCCCGGACAAGGGAGGCCACATGGGAGCGAGAGAGACAGAGCGATCGAGTTAGGTCCGCTGCAGCCGTTTGTAGGTTGGCCGCCCTGCAATTGGCGCGGGAAGGAGCGACAACACAACGCAACTGTACAGCAGAGGGGAGGTCCTTGTGGCGTGCGCACCTGCAGCGCCCCCGCGCCAGCGCCGCCACCACAATGGCACAAAACTCGCGCCGTTTGAAAGTTGCACAGAATCTCGGCCATAAAAGCCGCAGTGATCCAGTTTCGGGCAAGGTCGAAGGCACGCCGAAGGCACTCGCCAACAAGCGGCAGCGCCACAGCGGGCTGAGAGTCGTTCTCGTCGCTCTCTCGGAATCAGTCTGCTGGTAGCCAAACTTGCCAGCGAAAGGCAGCGCTGGCGTCGTCTGCGCGTCGCCATGCCGAGTGCGTAATTTGTTCTGCTTTGTTTTCGGCGGCGGTGGTAAGCCCGGCCAGAAAAAGCGGGGGAGGAAAGATTCCGGCTTTACGGCGGAAAGTTTGAAAACGGGCCGGCAACAGGGTGCGACACTGGCCGGGCCAGCCCGGCCCGCGCGGCCAGGGGTTTATTTCGGCAAGTTATCTGGTTTCAAATAACTTTGGGCCGCGGCGCGTCACGCTTTTACTTTGACGGCGAGGGGCGCGGGCTGGTGGAAGGGCTCAAATCTTTCTCCACTCTTTGCCAGGCCGCCCCGCCACTCGGGCTCCGCGTATAAATTAGTGCTAAATGTCGCCACGACCCTTCTGTATCATCTCTCCGCGATATTGGGTTACGATAATGGAAGGCCGGGGTGAGTAGTTGGAGGGTAGCGGGCTGCGGACCGTGTCGAACAGTCACGTGGTAGCGGAAAGAGTCCCTCCGGCCAGTCTTGTTTCGCTTACGGGAGGACGGGAGTCTCTCCCCTGGAAATTGAACCAAATTTCCGGCGGCTGCAGTCGTGCATGAGCTGGCCGCTCTCGCGTGGGTGAACGCGGAACGCGCCGGGCAGGGGCCGAGCTGCTGTTTGGGACAGGACGGACAGGGTGGCGACAGTTCGGGAGCAGTTCGGGACACTTCGGGGACAGTTTCGGGCTGCGCTGTCCGTATGGCACGTCGCTCGCATCTGCACACGGCTCGCCACGGCCCGGCGACGCATCAAGAAGTCATAACATAACAAGGACGGGCCCTCCATCCCCTCTTTCTTTCGCGTCCCTCATGTTGAAGCTTACAAAAGTTTGTTCATTTGCCCGCCGGACGGCCGGACCGGAAAGTGTTGTACCGGAATTTCAGCACCAGATGCCCAGATGGCGCGCTAAGCGGGGCCGCGCATTATTTTGGCCATGTGCGAATGTCATGTTCAGAGCAGCTTGTTGTGGAGTAGGCCGGCACGCCGCGCCGCCACGCCATCGCCGCATCGCAGCGCTGCCACCCGCAGGCCTTGTCCGATATTGATACCATAATCAGCGAGCTAGCCTGCCAGCGCCGCCCAGCGGGTCATCAGGGCCGTTTCATTGCATCCAGCCGAACAAAAATCAATCCTCTCGGCGTCACGGCGGCCTGCGACAAGTTTCCAAAAGCTGCTTGACTTGCTAATGACGTCACTGGGCGGGGCGGTGTCAAGCAACAAGCACGCGTGGCCGCGACCGGGGCGGCCGGGGCGGACTCTCAGACCTCGATTTCGTGGCCCCGGCTTTTCACGTCCCGAGGCGATGCCTGCCACGGCGCGCCACTATACCTGGAATCTCACCAGATGGCAAATTAAATAATGTACGCCAGTGCAGGAGGGTGGGAGGGGAGCGGGGTGGGCGAGCCTGCCTCGCCGAGCAGACGGGCGATCTCCTGGGGCGCGGCGCGCACTGCGCTGCTACTGCGCGGAGTAAGGGGGATAGAAATGTCACTGATGATGGTGAGTGGTGGCGCAGCACAAGTGAGATAGGAGTGTTATTTTGTGTTGTTTTTTTGCGTCGAGAGGTTGGTTGCCCTCCATTCCAAGTCGATGGCTTCATATAACCACCAAACTGGTTCATCCCGTTCTTGACGTTTGGGTCTGAATACGTGCCAGCACAGAGAGAAAGCGTGCTATAGTGCTGCTCCGTGGTCTGATTTCTTTTTCTCGTTACCCAAAATTCCTGGCTGTAAAAAATAATGACAAGAATTTTCTCCGTAGAAAAAAAAATTTCTTCGAAATTGATCGGAAACTTTGTTTTGTCTGAACATTTAAGAAATATTGGAAAACATAATATTTCACGGGTCTGGAGACCAGCCCTGAATGGTGACATCAAAACTCATTCCAAGTCCAAAAATATTTTTTAAACTTTTTTGGTTAAATGAGAGTGCTGCACATTTTTACGAGTGTCCGCCAGTCCACCGATCCACCCTGCCCGTGTTTTCACTTATTATGCCTGATGGGTCCACCGAGCCCCACCCAAACTAGATCGCTCCACCCCTCGATCGGACTGCATATGGTCTCGCCGTGCATGCGTACTACGTGCGGAACTCGTTTTCAAATGCATGTGTGTGTGTCTGTTCGTCTGTCTGTCTGTCTGCGTGTCTGTCCGCCTGCCTGAGTGCGATTGCACTGCTCATCTCCCCAGTAGCAGCCCCGTCAAGAGTGTCGATGATAATTAAATTTAGGGACGCACATAGTGGTAGTGGGGGGAATAACGGTGGACGGCATAAGGCTGGCGAAAGCGGCACTGGGATTTATGGCACGGGAGTGCGCTCCAGGTGA